TTGGGGTAATCTCAGGGGCAGGTAACTTATACATACGTCTGAAATATCTTTTTTCCTTTTGTAATGTTTTTCAGTATATTTTTCCATATTTTCAACCAAAAAAATCCATGAAATATTTCTGTTACCTTTTTCATAAGAGGTAATTTTAATTCTTCTAAGTTTTGCCTTAAAAAGCGTTTTAATTTCGCCGCCACCGCTGCTACCGCCGCCAACACGACCACCACCAATAACAACATAGTATGAGTAAGAAAAAGTTTTGTAAAATGCGTAAGAATACAACACTCGCTGTATCTGTAAAATCCACAGATCCGCTGATTTATATAAAACTCGAGTTCAAGATCTTGCGACATTTAACGATAGTGTCGCGACATTTAACGGTAGGGGAAATCCGTGTGACATTTAATGTTCACATTGCGACATTTAACGGCAAATGATTTTGCGACATTTAGCGGCGGTTGCGACATTTAGCGGCAATGGTGCGACATTTAGCGGTAAATGCGACATTTAGCGGTGTTGCGACATATAACGGCGCCACACACACTTTAGCTTTCAATGACGATAAAAATTCTATCGCTAAATGATTGGTTTCATTCATTTACACAATGTCTATAAAAGATTGAAAACGAAACCACGTTTGATTGTAAATTGTTTTTTGTTACTGACAAGTTTCACTAATTGGATTTCAATTTAAACAATAGACTCACTGGACTATTGTAAAAAATAATTGATGTGATATTTGTTTTACGAGTCTAAAATTGATATTAATGAAGTTTTCAGTAGAACAATACAAATTCAAATAAATAAGATGACTATGTTACGGACAGACTCATTCATTTCATCAATAATTTCAACGCCAAAAGCTTTATAGACTCGAGCTGAATTTTCTATTGGCAATGCTATGAAATATTATTAAAATCGAAAGCATAAGTGTACCCAATTAATACGTTTTGCAATATATTTTGCAATATGGCTTCTTTTACCATATTGCTACTGCCTTACCGATTAGTCAAAAGCTCTGTGAGGTATATAACATCGATAATATTAAACAAGGGTGATAAAGATCTATTGTTCTCCTATTTTTCCGAAGTTTATTTTGCTGAGGTAAAGATCTATTGTTCTCCTATTTTTCCGAAGTTTATTTTGCTGAGGTAAAGATCTATTGTTCTCCTATTTTTCCGAAGTTTATTTTGCTGAGGTAAAGATCTATTGTTCTCCTATTTTTCCGAAGTTTATTTTGCTGAGGTAAAGATCTATTGTTCTCCTATTTTTCCGAAGTTTATTTTGCTGAGGTAAAGATCTATTGTTCTCCTATTTTTCCGAAGTTTATTTTGCTGAGGTAAAGATCTATTGTTCTCCTATTTTTCAGAAATTTATTTTGCTGAGGTAAAGATCTATTGTTCTCCTATTTTTCCGAAGTTTATTTTGCTGAGGTAAAGATCTATTGTTCTCCTATTTTTCCGAAGTTTATTTTGCTGAGGTAAAGATCTATTGTTCTCCTATTTTTCCGAAATCTATTTTGCTCCTCAGCTAAAATATTTTTTTCTTCTATCCATTTAAGCAATCTGTTATTTTAAACTGAACAATATAACCAATACATGTTTGGGGCAAGAGCTATACCCTTATAATAAAAAAGATCCCTAGGATATGTTGTGTTTGATTTCGGTATTTGGTTAATAATGCCTTTACCCAAATCTGGGAGAATGCTACTATTATTAAAATATGTATTCAACAAAATATGTAAACATTAAAAATCACTTTTAAATGTTGGGAATTGAGTACCGCCTGAGTCGGTGCTAGGGGCGTGAGGGATGTTGCACTTTTCATTATTCCATATCTTCAGACTCATTTAAACCTAGTCTGTAATTTCCATGTAATTTTGCTGCTTTTAATGCTTCCAAGGGATCACTTTTGACAAAATTAACGCTATATTTCATTGCAATATATCTTTTGGCAATTGTACTAATTGATTACTGAAATGTATTCAGTTACAAAAAACGGCGGAGTTATTGATTTTTCTTTTGTGATTTATAATTGCAGTTTTTAGAAAATGATATACCGATACTTTTTGATCATTTATTCATAGGGTAAGTAATTGTTTGGTTTCATTTCTAAATAGACAAAAATTACAAAAAAATGAAATGGGGTAAAAAAACAACAACAACCACGGAGCGTTGTATTTAGTTATTTAGCAAGTGTACTTATGAATTTCTGAAACGTCATTCAATTCAGAAAACAACAAAAACAACGGAGTCATTGACTTCACCTTTGCGATATATAATTGCAATTATTACTAGCGAGATTTCATTCGAGAAAAGAAGTCTAACATTTTATATGGTACATACTCTTGCAGTTATTTTATTATGTTTATACATCTCATCTTAAAGAGTAAAAAGAAAACGAATTACATTGTATTAATAAGTTAATGTATAAAGTGATAAACGGTTTATACATGTAAGATTACTTTTTATATTAATATATAAATGAAAATAATTAATATATAAAATTAAACGAAATATAAATAAATATTTTGTATTAATTACTTTTTTGAATTGATTTTGTACCAATTTTCTTTTAAAAATTATTTTTTCTTTTCAATACCAGTGTGGAATATTACGTTTCAGTCCAGTAAAGACACGGATATTTCTATTTTAGACAGTATTACTGTGCCGGAACATGAAGCGTCACCATATTTTTGTCACTATTTTTCATTTATACTCAATTTTTGTTTTGGCAAACGGTGAAACTAATTTACTGTTTAAATGGAGTGAAAACGCTGATGGAAAATTATGTACGGATATGGACAGTGTGTTTGATAAAACACAAATCTACGATAAATCTGTCTGTTTGTTTGAATGTGCAAAAGACTCTGGTTGTAAAAGTGTATTTCATGCACGGGATACTGGTAAATGCACGGGCTGTGCGGCCAGCTATGATATTTCTACTCAACCAATAGGAGCATTTGAAGGTTTCAGATACTATATGCAACAGCGTAAGTTTAACGTATTCTATTCTTAAACTATTTTAGGTAGGTAAGTTTACACCTATTATTACCCCTCATTGTTTTTATAATATTAATTTCCCAAACTCTGAAAAATGTAAACCTTTAGAAACGTACAGTGCCCAAAATGAAGTATTTATTCGTGGTTATAAAATAAGTAACACATGGGTTTGTGAGTAGCAGCAAAAATATCATCTGTTACGATCGAATAACAGTATTTTCCTCGGAAGGATATTTTTACTGTTAATCACTATGTGTTATTTATATATTAATGGCATAATAACAAGAATTTTGACAGATAATAGTATTTATTTTGTTCAAGAAAACAACAAGCAGTATGCAATACAATAAGTTTGATTATCAATTTAAAGTTTTTAACAATTCACTAAAATCGATAAAATCATCCTGAGAAAGGAGACTGGTATAGAATAATAAGCAACACGTCATATCATTAGTATTGTTTAAATTTCAAACAAAAACTAAATAATTTTAAGAGACACAAAATAATACATACCTTTATTAATACAAAAAAGTAAATGTAAGTAAATATACTATATCCTTCTTTTTAATTTAACGTATTTAAAGCTTGTGTCAAATTTCTTTCTTTTTTTCAATTCATAAATCAAAATTAAAATTAAGTGATAAACTTTTAGTTCAGTCAGTTAAGCAGTTTAACTTTTTTGATTTTTAAGTTATGCACAACTCTTGTTAAGAAATTTATTATTGGTAAATTAGAGACCTATATTTCTAGAATATACCTATGATTCAATTACGAAACACCAGATGTTATAAAAGATATATGTGTCTATTATCTCAAATAGCTATGATATGTCCGACAATATTTAGACAATATTCCAATGAAATACAAAAAAAGATACTTATTATCATTTTATAAACTATTTTAACAAAGAAGGCAAACACATAACGTAAATTACAATAAAGAAACTAGTCACTCCAAGATGTAGATTTTATACGACTTAGACCTCTGTTTTGACTTTTGTATCGCCGTGCTGTCTTCTTTAGTAGTTGATATCTTCAGGCCAATAAAAAAGTTTTACACAATGTGATTTGAGTCAGAGCATGTCCCACTACATCCAAATTTCAGTATAGTCACAATAACATTAAATATATTTTTTACATTTCAATCGACACAGGTTGTACAGAAGGCTGGAATAGCTTTGCAAATTCATGTTACTTCATTCCAGAGCAAAAAATGAACTTTTTGCAAGGCGTGGTAAGCATATCTTTATCTTTATATTCGAGTTGATAATTAATATTGACGAAAATCTCATGAATTTCGTCTGTTTGCATATTTTATAATTGAGTTTGCTAAATATGTCCTTCATGCACAGCTGGATTTATATGTAAATGAACACTTTTTGGTGAACAAATAATTTCTTATTCGTTAAAAATCGAATATATTTTACACACGTTTCAAAATCGACACTAAAAAGTTCATGGAAGAGCAATGTGACGTTTGAGAACATTTGTCTTTGTCCATACTAAAAGGTAAAGGGACGAGGCCAATCATATTCAAATTACTAAAAACAGAACTACTAGTGTACTAAATTCAAATCTTTACAAAGATGTCAGACAAGCGTAGTATTTGTTGTTGTTGGCTTTTTTTTTTCGGGGGGGGGGGGGGGTGGGGTGGGGGTGGGGGCTGGTTTAGTGGCTCTAACATAGTAAAGGCCATATGGTGACTTTCCAGCTTTACTGGTGGAGGAAGTTATCAGGCCCCCACCTCCGTACATGATTTATGATTTCAGGCAGGAATGTACAAACAGCATAGTAATTGACTCGGCTGTGGGGCAATATCAGTAAGTTTGTTAGGTTATACAGGGAAGCTTATCGGTGTAACAAGAAAGCTGCATAATCTTCATTTTCAATCCCTTTTAATTTTCTGAAATATCATAAACATTTAAATGGTATGGCTTTGGTGATGATATAATTTATTGATTGCAAAAGTATACCTTTTTTTCTTTCTCAAATTAAAGGCAATGTGTGAAACATTAAATGCTTATCCTGTTATAATGGACAGCGAAGAAGAGAACAACTATCTGAAGGCGTTAATTAACTCAAAATATACATATACAGGTATGTTCAGTTACAAATCTATCTTTTTTGTTTCCCTTTGTCTGTGATTGATGCCTTTTGAAACTATTGATCCAGAAATTTTGTTTTTAAGGCTTTATTTAAATCGGAAAGTGTCCTTTGCTTCGTATTTTAAAAAAAGTATCATTTTTACTATCCCATTAAATACAATTAAGTTAGCAATCAAGCCTTTTTTCGGCCAGAGACTGGACTTCCTACAAAAATTTACAGGGAAAAACTGAATATATGTAAACATTTTAAAAGTCATTTTACAATTATAATCTGAAAACTCGGAATCTGATTGGCAATTGTAAAATTACTAAAATAACATAAAGGATTATTCCGACATGGTATACGCGTCTAATTTTTAATAAATCGAAAGGAGTTCTGGAAACGAACCATCTACATTCCTATGTTCTTTTACTATCAAGATAAGGTTCAGATATAACCATGCCTTCTCCTACACATTATAATTCTATAGTGCAATGCATCCTCTTACAGATTACTTTACGCTGCTTTAATGAGTTAAAAAATTTGTCAAAAATTGACGAAACCACCATTTACAATTACGATCACGATCCCGTTTACTCATGCGCATGAAACTAGCGAAAAGCACACTAAAAAATGAACTTATCGCGTATTATCAGTTATCTATGTGTTATGAATACACAGTTTTCCTTTTTTTTATATTAGAGAAATATTTCTATAATCGTTAACGATTGAATGGTTTGTTTATGATAAATATTTGTCGTAGTGTTTTTAGATTAAAAAACTAACTTTCGGTTCTTTTTTCCGATTTTAGGTTTCTTTCGTTATTTTCAAAGGTGTTGCAAATTCGTTAAATCATGTCTTTTGTATCGACAAAACGTTGTCATTTTTAAACTTTCTATCAAAAAATTTCGATATGACTTCAATTGCTTAAAAATAGGGTGTTTGTTTCTTATTTACTCTTTCTCCACTTTTAAAGGATTTACTTTTGACTATCCTAATATGTGATTCTTTCCCTGAAACTGCAAATATATTCATATGATTTTAATATTTAAAAAATTAAACGTTTAATTCAATAATAGGCTCAATATCATAATCAGTACGTGTCTATTTCCATGTTTCCTAAGATACTCAGCCGAATATCTTTTTTAAAAATATTTTTTGTTTCATTTCAATTGCATGAACTTTACTTTTAAATAGGTTCTGATTTCAAATATAATTTTGATATTCGTCTAGTTGTCAGATATCATTCCCTCTCTCTGAACATTTTTAGCTGACGTGCCTGCTTTCTTTACCGGCTTCACAGACATTGATACTGAGGGTGCATGGGTAGAACACGGTTCCAATAACCAAATGGTATTCCCGCCGGATTGGTATATGGATGAACCAAACGGAGGAACGACAGAGAACTGTTTGGTTTTCTATTTTCCTGACTTGAAATGGGTAGATTTCCCTTGCAGCTCTGAGCAAATAATGATTTGCGAAATGGATGCACCGGCTTGATACAAATATTATACTTGGACATTTATTTGACTCGTACGTTATGCATACCTAGCAACTAATGCGACATAGAAATTGCCGATGGTTGACTTGAATATTTCAGATTATACTTTTCAATATTAGCTGTGATTTAATATTGTACCTTGATGTCATTAATATTTTTAATGTTGAGCAACAAGCAAAAATGGGTATTAAGAATACAAATATATACATCACTCTCGAATTGTTTCTAACGGCGCACCAACACAATTAAGCTAATATGGCGCAATTAACAGGAAAGATAAATTTGGATAAAGCAACACCAGGTGGCAAAAAGAAAGCTAAAAGGTATTTGAACCCATTTAGTCGCATTTTTCGACGCTGGTAGCTGTAATTCTGATGCTTCAACTCTTAAAGGCAATTCCCTAGCTACAATGGGCCTCTTGTAACAGAAATAAATGTACACGATTTTTGGAGCAGATATAGTAAAAAGTTGACGTTTGTAACGGCTTGAATTTCATTTCTGGTCTGTATTCTAGCAATTGTTAAATAACGACATGAAAACAATGTTCACAAGGACACATATTGGCAATCTTCAGTTTAGTTAAAACTTCTTGTGAATAGCACAACAAATATATATAGGCATTTACGTATATCATGCATAACAAAATATAAAAGAAAAACGGCACAACGAAAAATGTTGTAGTCTCGGTTTGATTGAGCCTATTCAGGTAAATTTACACGTCATCTTGCACGGACTGTACCAGAATTCAAAATTAAAGAATGAAATGTTGAAATTTTGAATTTAGATACTTTTCTAAGTTGTGTTTGTAAAATAATTATTATGGAACCTTAAATGTGTCTCGTTCGTGACATATTTCATAACAAAGCAGCGTCTAGTCCCCAAGTGATATGAATGTATATACCTTTAACAAAACATATTGGACGAACAGAAAGTAAAATGAAATTTCGAAAACATGTGAAAGAGGATCACAGTTATTAAGCCTTCATGCCAAAAAACAAATCACCTAAAAGGCAAACTTGAAAAGAAGGCAACATATTCTTAAAACAGTATTTAATCAAGAAAACTGGTACCATCCAAATAGAAAAAAATGATAAATAGAAGGAACTTAAACACCACAAACATAAAAATAATGTAATGTTGAACGATTTTCATGAATCACAAACACAACATCTCAGATCGAATATAATGGGCGACTTTTACGGTCTACAACGATGGAGTGATAATGCCAAGGAGAATGTTAAGCACAAAGAGTTAAAGAGGTTATTTTGTCAAAGCTTTTTCAAGGGGAACCACTGGTATTTTTCATTGACTTATTTTGAAATTTGTAAGCTATTTGCTGTAGTTTTATATTTGTGTGCAAAATTTCAGAGCATACTCTTTACGTCCAGAATAATCGTGTCAATTGATATGAAAAGAGTTTGAAAATTTTCATTAATATCGGGCTGAAAACATGAACACCAAATCGAGTAAATGCTAAATTTAGGTTAGTATGTATAACTTTCAAAATTATTCTTTAAATAATAACTATTTAATTCAGTATTCTATTTGACTGTTTTGATAATTATTTGTTTGGCAGTTGCAATATGACCATTGATGTGTTTTGTTGTTCAATAAATATATATCTTGGATATATCTTATTTCAGTTTTCTCTACTCACCTTTCAGTCAAGCGCACTCAAAACAAATATATGCCGACGGGCTATGCCGACATTAAAGGCAAATCCTAAAGGGGCCCTTTTCTCAACAACATATTCTCTTGGTTTAAAAACACCCCCCCGGCTTTTCCTTCCCGGCGACACTAGGGCCCAAACCCCAAAACCCGGTAAAAAGATAGAAAAAAAGCTTTTTTTTGCACAAATTTCTTAAATACTTTAATAGCTCGACTTTTAAAAAAGGGGGTTTTCGGGGCCTTCATTCTTTTCATTCTTTTCTTTCTTTCTTTTCATTTATGTTTTATTAAATTTTCCCAAACCCAAAACCTACAAAATTCCCTTTGTCATGTTTATCTCACATTTTGAAAAAAAAGTAAAAGAAATAAGAGGACAATTGTATTTTTTAATCGCCCTTTTTAAATTTTTGAAAGTTTCCAATTCAAATGTAAAATCAATATCATTTTTTAAAAAAAGGGGCTTTTTAATTTTTTCATATTGGAGTGTTTATGCCCACTTTTCATTTACAAAAATTTTTTCCCAAATTTAGCAACGAGAAATAAGAATAGGGAAATTATGTTATAAAATTGATAATTATTTTTCAAGACAAAAGCATTTCATTTCATCAATTCTTTTTAATGTCAAAACGATTCAAAGACTTAAGTGCTTTTTTGTCTCGCTTTTATTTAAAAATTGTCAATATGTTGTCTTTTTAGGGAGTCACCCGTTTGTTCACATCTAATATTTGTTATCACACTTGGTTGATTCGAAATTTTAACAATAAAATATGTTTACAGTGAGTACTAGTATTTCAAAACGCTCAAATGGCTTTTAAACATTTTACCTTGAAAGTTCACTTGTTCTAAATATTGTTTACAGATTTGTAAATATATTTTAAAGGAAAAAAAAACATTTCAAAAGCCATGCTTTATGAAAATAAAAATCAACCTGCAAATAGTTAATTCACTATCTGATATGTTCAAATAAATTTATATTTGCAGTTGTACAATTCGATGTGTTTAACATATCATATATATCGCGATATTTATTAAAATCAAACAATCTGAACTTTAAAAGAAATTACACCGAATCCTTAATAAAGCAGGTCTGGAAACTTTATTCTAAAACCTGTTCAATTAACCTAAAGATGTTTTGAACTAACCATTTTAATTGGTTTCATTTAAGATACTGAAAGAAGCAACCTTGCACACAATTTATTCGTTACGGTACAATCTTCAAACGGTATGACAATTTGTAGTCCCATCATGTCAAAAAAACTCAATGGTGTTCCTTTAAATGCACATTGAGTGATTGCCTGCCAACGATTACTTAATTAGTTCTTCTGTTTAAAAACACTTTCTTAATGTAAAACCTAATTTGTTTTTCTTCAAAAATTTAAGTGAAAATGTCATAACACACTTATTAATTGTCACCGTCTATATTATAAATGAGCGCTCGCCATCTATACTTTATAAATACTTTATAAATAACCTGAACAAACCTAATGAAAGAACACATATGAGCCGCGCCATGACAAAACCAACATAATGCGCAGTCTGATCAGGATCTATGCTGTTCGCTATCAGTTTCTCTACTTGTTATAGGGTTTGTTAGCGAACAGCATGGATCCTGATCAGACTGCGCGGAGGCGCAGGCTGGTCTGGATCCATGCTGATCGCAAACGCATTACGTTGGTTTTGTCATGGCGCGGCTCATATATACATGTACGTATCATTGTTCCCACATTTTCGGGGGTCCTCATATTTTCATGGCGTCATTTACGGTCGCGAATGACAGCTCGTGCGATTGATTCGACTCTCCAAAAAGCAAGCATGTTTTCACAGACACTTGTTTCTACTACGAAAATATAGACAGTTGTTGCGATTATTTCTGATAAGTCTTCATTAGAATGGCAAGGATCAATCATTATAATCATATCATTGCATAGAATATATGCCTAAAAATGTTTTGAAAAGATTTTCAAATCGAATAAGGAATAATGAACCAGTTCCTTATTCCTTAATCAACGCCGAATAAGGAACAGAGGAAATACACAGGAAAGAACACAATTGCAATTGTATATGATAAATCTGCATTAAAACTGCAATAGTCAAACAATCAAATGATTGCATAAAACATCTACATAAAAATATTTCGAAAAAATATTCAAATCGAATAAGGACTAAGAAACAAGTTTCTCATTCATTATTCAAATCCAGATAAGTAATAAAAGAAGATACATGAAGAAAGACACCAGTTGCAATTATTTCTGATAACTCTGCATTAGAATTGCAAGGTTCTCTTTCTTAGCGTATCTTCTTTTGTTCCTTGTTTTTGGGGCCGAATTATAACCCTTGAAATTTTTTTTCAAAATATTTTCATGCAGATGCTCTATGCCATGATTTTAAAGATTGATCCTTGCAATTCAAAGGAAGATATATACAAAAGAGTTGCAACTGATGTCTTTCTTTGCGTATCTTCTTCTGATCATTATTCGGAGTTGTTTTAGAAATAACGAACTGGTTTCTTATTCCTCATTCGACTTCAACATTTTTTTCAAAATATTTTATGGAAATGTTTCATGTTATGATTTTGATGATCGATCCTTGCAATTCAAATGCAGATTTATTAGAAATAATCGCAACTGGTGGCTTTTTGCTTATCTTTTTGTGTTTCTTATTCGGAGTCGAATACGGAATAAGGTACTGATTCCTTCTTGTTCCTTATTCCTTATTCGACTTTATCATTTTTTCAAAATATTTTAATGCATATGCTTTATGTAATGATTTTAATGATTGATCCTTGCATTTCTAATGCAGATTTATTAGAAATAATCGCAACTGGCGCCTTTCATTTCGTATCCTGTTCTGTTCCTTATTCGGAGTTGAATAAGGAATAATGAACTGGCTTCTATTTCCGTATTCGACGTGACCATTTTTTCATAATATTTAGATGCAGTGCTTATGCAATGACTTTGATGATGATTGATTTTTGCAATTCTAATGGAGATTAATATTAAAAAAAACCTTAGTGCATTTGCGATATCTTCTGTTCCTTTTTAAGTGTTTTCAGTTTGGTTCTAGTTTGCTGGTCAACCATAAATATTTTTATATAAATACTTATTCTGCCTGTTCCTTATTTAGATTTGAATAAGGAATACGGAACTAGTTCCCTATTTTCCTGATTCGAAAAAAGGAATAAGGAGTAGGGAACTAATTTTATATACATGAAATATTCACATATCATAAAATATAACTTTAGCTTTAGGGCATTATTTTCGATTAGATCATCTTAATTTCAATAAATATTCAAGTATGCAATAATGGAATAATTATCTATTATTACGTACGGTCTTATTTTTGTATAATTGACATTATTTTCATTTTCCAAAAAATCTATCATAATTATGGTCTTTGGCCAGTTATTGATAGACTGACCGACATATTGTTACGCATGCGCATAAAACAGCATTTAATGATATGAATATTAAGTTTATGTCTTGTATTGATTATCATTGGATTATTTGAAAATAAAACAAAAACAATACAAGTGAACAATTTTAAGTAGTTAACAATAGCCATTAAGTCTGTATACAATCGAAATTATAAATCAATGATTAGTGATTGGCATAAAACAAAGTGGCAGAGTTAAGAATGATATAGGACAACGCTCCAAATCTCACTGAGTAATTTTCAAAAATTGGTCTATTTCAATGAAACAGTTTCTACATTTTACCCTTAAATGGAAAGCATAAAATCATCTAAACAATGACTAGACAATTTACACAATTTCATTACTATGTTTATTGAATTATCTATAAACTGAACAGGTTTAAGACCCTTCACAATAAAGCAACACTGCATGATCCTTTTTTTTACAGTCCATTATAATAACATATAGATTAAACACATATCTTTGTCGATTCTACAGAAATGTCTTTCACTGGATGTTGATTAAGTTTTCGTGAAACAAAATCCCCTATAAGCAGAACAGCAGCAATTCCTTGTGCCGTTGAAATGATGGCGAAGATAGCGTTGTAAGAACCTGTATTGTCCCTGATAACGCCTGGAATGAAAATACAAACAATAGCATTATATCAATAAGTACAGACAGTATCTCGCCTGTGATGCATTACAATTTGTTCCCTTATAAAATAATTTACTATAGACTAAAGAAATGAATCACTCGCGAGGACACGTTTATCCTTAACCAAAAGTTTTTTGTTTTCGTTTTTAATTTGTTAAACCATCCCAAGTGTTCCTTAAAATTACAGTATTAGTTTGTATGGTATGCAAATATATAAATAGTGTTAGTTTATAAAACATTTATGTCAAGCAAGATATCAAAAAGTTTATAAACACATACATTTTCATATTGGTTATTATGTTGTTTTATACAAAACGCGACAAGCTTTTAGAATGAAACAAAATAGCCCGTACTAAATAATAATGGGATAGAAAAGTTAAATTTCCTTTAAAAAGTTCCTTAACCAATATCTTGTCCCTGCTTTGTATTTTGGAAGGTTTATGACTTGTATCACAGCTAGCCAAGATTAAACGATAATTTATTGTCTTTTCATTCATTGAAACCTGCATTGTTTAATGATCAAACAGAAACAAGGAAGTACTTGCCATAGAACCCTATAATATTGTATGTGAATCCATAACGCATTATTAAATAACACTGAATTGTGTGGGGAAAAACGCTGAATCGTGCAATATAAATCTATACTGGAATGGTTTAAAGCGATAAGTAAAAAAACCAATATATTTTATTGAAAATACAACTGAAAAAGAAATTAGTAAATACGGCTTCAAAGACGCGACATGTGCATGAAACCTCGACTATGGAATGAGTTAAACTGCTTATCAACTTTAAGATAGTTATATTGGTCCCATTCCAGCAGACAATGCACCAGCAAAGGTCACAATCGTTCCTATAGCAACGTTTGCCAGTTCATGACGCACAAGATCTGCACATATCACGGATGCACAGGCCAGAATTCCGATCACTGCACTCATACATGCCAGTCCGATTGCATACAAAACAAACGTGTCTGCATATATCACAATAAGGCAGCCAATACACGCAAAAAGAGCAAGTCCAAAGGGGAGCAAGTATGTATCAATATCTAGAACTTGCTGAATCAGTCCAACAATGATAGAAAAAAATATACTACATAAATTGTAAACAACAAATACCATCTTTGCTTCAGAATTATCAAATCCTTTCCAGTGTGATATATCAAACATAAAGTCGAGGAATGCATCTGATATTCCTAGAGATATGGAAGCTGCAACAAGAAGGCAGATGTACCGTTTTGTCATTAAACCTTTGAAAAAACTTTCTACATTAACGCGGATTTGTTCTTTTCTCGGTTTCTTACTGATGGTATTATAACAATGTTTTTCTTGTTCCCCAGACTTGTCTTCCGGTTGTAAAGTAAGATTATTACGGCGCAACCATATCATTAAAGAAAACACAAATGAATTACAGAACACTCCACCTATAACTAATAATGTTCCACGTACGCCATATTTTGAATCTAACACATCAAGTAAATAAGGATAAAATAAGCCAGCAATGGAAGGGCATAGGCTTTGTAAGAGAATGCACCAAGACCTTCGTTTCCCTTTGAAAGTCCTGTTTATAACTGTTAAGAAACTGATATAAAATAAGGAAATTCCAATACCTACAACAAAAAGAAATGATCATTATTGTCAGCAAATAGGACTGCACATTTTTATGTAATAATGACGATGATATTTATTTTTCAAAGATGATCTGATGTGTCAAAAACAATGTTGAAGTTTAAAACAAAATATATTTAATACATCTTATTTTAATATGACTGTCAAAAGTATTAAGACAAAAATAATACACCAAAGCAACAACAGCAGCAATATAATGAATTACAAACGATATTTAACAGTCAAATAGTAATTCTTCATTAACTAAAGTTCGGTTTTATTCACAAATAGTATGTCAAATAGACTATTTCGAAATATCCATTGATAAAACATTTAGCAGAAATGTTATCTATGTAAGCGTTGACATACCACGGAGATATGACCCGCCATGTGGTAGAATTGTCGTAAAACAGAAAAAACACCTTATTATAAATTATCCTTACAAATATTATCAAAATCTGTAAAGTGGTTTTGGAAAAGAAGCGCACACAAGATTGAATTTACAGACGGTTTTCTAGGCCAGACTATCATTTTGGAAGACTAAAACTAGTAAACCTCCCTTCAATTCCAGGGTTATTATTTAGTAGTAACTCATCAAAAAAAATTTATATCACCAAATTGGATGTAATATCATTAGAAATTAATCATTTACACTTGAGGACTGTTGTCAAAACTAGCCCTTATAATTACCAGATATATATGGTTTTTATTTATTTTATTTACATTTGTTTTATAAAATTATTACATACAACTTTGTATTACAAGTACAAATATTGCTGCAATGCAGCAATTGAGAAGCTCCGCGCAAAAAAATATGCTCTCATTACAGATACCTTACCAAATCATTCCTGCGCACAAGTCATTTTTCTATTTAGATTAAGTACTAGTGTGCATTATCAAAGTGCATCCAAGCAAGAAATGCAACAAGTGACGATGACCTAGTAGACATCTGATGACCAGATATTCTTATAAACTTTTCAATGGTTAATTGGATTTTACCAGAATTTTACCAGAATTGTATATCATAGATGAATAGGCCGACGAAAGACATTATTCATCATGAACTTTTATAGGCCTGCTAGAGTTAAGAATATTAAATGTATTTTCTTTGGGACATACAAAACAGTAGTCAAAATGAACAAAGTCTGGGTTTTTTTATTAATGTATTTTCTTTGGAACATACAAAACAGTAGTAAAAATGAACAAAGTCTGTTTTTTATTATTATATTTGTAACAAATATACAAATAGCAATAAAAGGGACTAATTTCATGGTAATATTACATGATTTTTTCATGTCAAATTAAGAAAAATGGTTTCTATCAATACCTGGGAATTAAGATACAGTAGCTATATTCTAAGTTCCAGGTAAATACTGGAAGTAGAACACACACTGTAATGAACAATTTGGGATGAATTTCAAAAAGACCAAATTCATGATATTTTTTTTTTGTTATACGCGTTAACAAAAATAATGGTACGTTAAAAATCATGAATAAATTTGCATGGCATGTTGATATAGTGAAACATTATTTAACAATGGAAGATTGTTACCTGAATTTTAGACTGATATGAGGAAATTCACTAACATCATGTTCATTCGAGTCAATTAAAGATATAAAAGCTACTTGGCATTGGTTATAAATAAAGAGCTATTGTTCATTGATTTATTGGGAGATCAATCTACTATTTTGTTGAATTGCTTCAAAATCCTCGTCCAGTTTTAACATAAGGTGTTAAAACTGCAGACGAAAGTTTCTGTTGTTAAAATGTCACAGTGTTCAGCAAATCAACATTTCACTCAAACCACCATAAAACCGATTGCCTTCAAACAAAATAGAATCAACTTCTTACAGCAAACATTCGGTAAATCAGGGTCGATGGTAAAAAAATGTCAGAAGTGCAATCAATGTCGTAATAAAGAAAGGAGCTATTAATTTTACCGGAAAAAAACATGTGGAAACGACAATTTCAAAATGATAACACTATGATATAACAACTGTTAAAATGGCCTACTTAATTTTCTTGATAAATTTATAAAGAGTGCAATTAATGGTTGAATATGTTTGCATTTCATTTCCTGCAAAACTCTCCAGTTCGTTATTTATTACCATAGCGCGAAACAAATGACCGTAAATGGCGTAAATAAAGTTTTGGACTTTCACAATGCGAAGGTCATATCTATTTATAGCTTTCGAATTCATGTACAATAATAAATGATACACAACCAACTGTGTACTACATATAATTAGTAATTTCCTGTAGAAGATACAAATGTAAGAAATAAATTACCAAATTTAAGTTTATTTTTATCTTTGTCTTTTATTCTGCTTTTATATATGAAATTTGTTCCCGTTCTCATCGATAAATATGACATACTGCGAATCACCGAATGGAAAACCAATAGACATGATATATGACTTTACATAATAGAAATCAGAAGGAATTCTTGCTTCCGAATTTATTATTAGCTGTAAATCGAAGGGATTAATTGATAAAATTGGGTCCATGGACAAAAAAATTAGTCAACACAAATAGCAATAAACAAGAAGAAATAAGAAAGTATATACCTCCCAATATGCTAATTGTAGCATAAAGATACCAAATGTTTGTAACGAAAAATGACACTGCAAAACCTGAAGACATGGTAATACTTGACAATAAGACAACGACAGGTAATCCAAATTTGTTGATAATTAATCCGCTTACAGCACCTTTAAACGACAAAAATAATGAATTTAAAAAAAAAAAAGAGAATATTTAAATTATTTATTATAAAGTATTATTTAATATTATTTAAATTAGACCATACCGTTGTTAATAAAAAATATGATTGGTCGATATGCTCTTGACATACAATCTTTTGTAGTAGTAATAATATTTCGTTGAACGGATAGTATAAAAAACTCTGTGCAGAGATTTGTATAAGTATGTCTAATGGAAAACTACAATTCACAAGCCACGAAGAAACGTTTGACAGAAGAAGCATTCGATCCAGATGGTACTTTTCAAACAAGAACGTGTTTAGTTAACCGTCCGTAAACAGGCTCAATCAAAACGAGTCTGCAAAATTTTCAATTTTCTCATTTCCGGAGTTCTTTCTGGATTCTTTATATTTATCTTTTTTAATATAATGCAAGTGTAAACATTAATTTGGTTATTATTGTGAGCTGCACCTTTTTGTTTTCGCCATGATTAAAGAAGAAAAATGAGGAGATGAATTTAGTTTGTAGAGAAATAAAAACATGTCATCTAGAATAGCGTACACAAAAAATATATTTTTACGGCTAATGTCTGGAAATAATTTTCAATATGTACTGTAAAGCTACAGCATTTGTCAAAGCAAACCGTACTTTGATAAACTTTTAACAAGTAATGTCGGCGTAAGTCATGGTACATATTCGTGTCTTGTTTGCTTTGGTCTATACTGTGATTAAACATATAAATGTAAATGTAGCTGTAAGAACATAATTGATACATTTATAAATCTTATTAAGTATTTTCTTCGAAATAATTTAATACATTTTTTAAATCGGGGGTTTTAAAAACTTTTAAAGGTCTGACGGGGTTAAAACCCTATAATTTTAAAAAAAAATTCGTAAAGGGGGGGGTACGTTCCCAAATTTGTTTCATTTGGGAATTTAAATTGGGGGGGTTCCTTTTTGGGTTATTTTTTTTAATTAAACTGAGAAATTTGTTGAAATTTACATTAATTGTAAATTTAATTTGTTAAGGATACCTTCATATAAAATTTTTTCCTTTGTTTTTCATGCCAAAAATTTTTTTAAATTATGTTTTTTTCATGGGAAATCTCAAATTTTTTTTTATGAGTCAAAAATTATTTAGGTAACAAAAAAATTTTTTTTTAAAAATTTGGTTTTAAATTTATGGATTATCTTTCCGGGTTTAAATGAAATTTTTAAAAAATTTTTTTATCATTTTCACGGCCCTTTTTCACCTCAACAAAATGTGACATATGTATCGTTATTGATGAGATGGGTATAAATATATAAACATGTAAGCCGATGAAATAACAAAAAGAGCAACTTACAAAAACTTGTTGATATACCCATCAATAGGGCATGAACAGTAGCTGTAGTTGGTCTGTCTGTTTGAAAAGTGTCACGAATTGAAGTAAACAAAGCCCCAAACGAAAATACTAAACCAAACTGTAATGTAACTAGCACAAACGCCACCCAGAAATATAACCACTTTGTACTGGAAAAGAAAATAAATAACTTATAAATATCAACAAAAATGTTCCTGGTGGTTAAAGCAAGCTGCAACAAGTTAATTTTTTATTCTTTGCAGATTTTTGAATCATACATTCAATGTAAAATCGCACACGTTAAAAGCTATATAGTTCCAGTCCTGATTGATCAGATCATCCTGTATTCAAATGTTGTTACGGTGAACATAGCTGCTATTTATTGTACCGTTATCAATATTTACTTTTTCATTTTCCTATCTTTTCTTCAAATGGAAATCTCCGACTGTTTATTTCCTCATTAAATGTCTTTGGATCCTTCTTTCTTATAGTGTCTAATTGGCTTTTAATGTGGCATCTATCTGGGTGAACCAAATTCGCATACGAAAACCAGGCCAACAACTGCGTTACATTGGCGTTAATCAGAGAAGCGTCGCAACCGCTCGAACATTTAAGGTTTTTTTTTTTTGGGGGGGGGGGGGTTTGCGCTAGGCCTTTCAAGCTTTTACAGAAAGATATAGGAGAGTGTGAATATTTTGAGCAAGAATTACCAAGAATGAGAGTTAATTTAGCAAAGTACTCGTATTGTTCTCTTAATTAGCAAAATACATTAAAATGTAAAGATGTTCACGTGCTGAATAATCACGAATACATGTATATTATGTAACTGTAGTTATATTTCTATGCATAGAAGGAGATTATGAGAGTAAATATTCAACTCGTTGAATACTTGCATAAAGTTATGTATTATGTTGTGTTGGTACGCAAATTTCAACTTTTCGGACAACGTTAAAAAT